CCAAAACAGCAGAGAGCAAAAGTCAAACTTTATTCGTCACTGTTGCTCTGATAACACTAGTTCATCAGTAATTTCAAAGTTCATTTAGAATTTTGTTTTTATTCTCTACAATTAACCACGTCTACAAAAATATTTATATATATTAATAATAATTAATAAATGGAATGTAAGTGAGAGTTAAGGCAAAGCAGTGGGGGGAGGAGGGTATATTTCTACTCACCGCTACAAAATGACGCAGCACATATGTAAGTGTGCCCTTTTCAGCTTTCTCTGACAGTGCCTTGTGAAAAGAGGTGAACTTCTTTGTTCCAATCTCTGCATACAAGATCACAACTGGCACATCTGTTATATTGACCCCTGGATATGTGTGATCGTTCTTGTATAAATATGGTTTTGGCCTGTGAACGTTTGGAAAATCTGGTTAAAGATATCCCAGAGCTAAACATTGATAGGTGAAAGCATCAAATATTAAAAACACAATTTTAAAAAGTTTCAAATAACTACATACATAAATTCAAACTTCCATGTTACCTGCCTGCAGCTGCCTTAAGGAGCTTCTTGATGTCCTTGGTGCTGCAGCTGTGTTGCCCATGGATGGAGACAAAGGCTGGGCAAGCCTCAGGCGGAGGCTCATCTTTGGCTATCTGTTATGAACAGAAGGAAGAAAAAGAATGTTTGGTAAAGTAATGGCTACAACATAACCTTACTAAAGCCAGGGTTTGCTGGTTTGGTCCCCACCTGAATTACTCGTTTTAAAATACATGTGATTATAACACGACCACTTCTCTACTTTTGAGGTTAGGCATAAAAGTTTTATTTTGATAAAAGTGTTTAGTTAGGATTGGATCAGTTGAGCCCTTAGTTACGCTGCTACAGTTTCAGGTTGCTGGGAGATATCTTATGATGCGCTGAGCTTGTCTTTTCCAGTCTCCTCTGTTTTTAAACCCCCTTATTTCCCACTTCTGAAATTCATACAAAGAATGTTCTTCTACTTTTTCTTTTCATTTTTGTGTTGTTTTGTTTGTTTTTCATCATACTTTCTGTGACCCCCCAGTGGAGGGCTGCCACGCCGTGAGCTTGGCTCTCCCAGGGTGGGAACAGTTCTTCCTCCGCAACACTGCTAGGTGCTTGCCTGTAGAGGATTGCCTGGATTGCCTTGAAATGACTGAGTTTTAAACCGGATCTGTACAAATTAAACTGAACTGAGCTGAAAATATTACTTTATAACACTTTGATCAGAACATACCTGCTGGGATGCATGAACAGCTGGTGAATAGGAGCGCAGGGCAAGAGCAAATTTGAGAAGATTAACTTGAAGATCTGTGAGGAACTGTCCGGCTTTCTTAATGATCAAGTTGTAGTACGAGCGCACCGACTCTGTAGAATAAACAGTGGTGGGACAAAAACTCAAAACTCAGTTCAATGAGTTACACCTCTTCATATAAAAGTAATAGTTTAATGTAAAAATAGACATACCTCCGTGCTTGTATACAGTAAGTTCTTTTACAGTGTCGACAAACTGCCAGAATTTCTCATTCCCATCTTCTCCAATAAATTCGCTGCACATGAAAATACGTAAGTATAATAAGCAAACATTATTTTGCTCCTCAGCAGTTAAAACTACAGACCACCAAAATCATTAATTTCTGGAAGTAACTGTGCACATATCCACTGTAACTCATCATTAAACAAGATAAAGGATCAAGTTTTTTACTACGGCTATTTAAACACACAATCCAATTATATACGAAGATTTCTACGAGGTTACCAAAGAGATTGGCATAACTAACACTGATGATAAAATCATCACAGACTATTTTGAAACAGGAGAGGCCACAAAGAAGGATGCAACAGAGAAGACAGACATTCCAGCTTTAAGCGTATCAACTTTACCAGAAGTACACCAACAGGGATACAGCGAAGTTATATTTTAAGGTGATTTAAAAAAGTTAAAGGCAGTAAAATTACATTAAATCAATAAATAACCAGTATAAAAATCTGAATAACCTTCCAAGAGTAATAAAGCAGAACGTTTTTGTGGTGATTTTTTACATAAGTGTCCTTCAGAAATCATAATAAGGCAACTCATAACATAAACAAAGTGATGTTTATATTTGGTCCCCATGAAAACGGCCTTGCTTGGTGACACTTGTGATTTAATTTGAAAGATAAATGGTTCTGTGCTGAATAATAAATAATAATATAAATGTGAGAATTAAGGTTTTCTAAATGTTCCAGCACTGTTTTCTACTGTGATAAACACAGTGAAATAACTTCTGTCTATTACTTAAAGTCTATTGTAAATGGGCTACAGAATGCACTTTTTAAATTGTTAGGTCTGTGATGGGATTAATCATTCTGGATGATGGCTGTCAATATAACGAGACTGATTTTTCCACAAATGATATTCTGTTTTAGTTTAGCTACAATGTAACACAAGAAAGTCTTTCAAAAAAGCTAAATGATGGTAAACTACAATGTATTTACGACCATGAGCACAGTTACCGTGGAGAACATTGAGGCTGTGACCTTTATCTGGTAATACAATATACTATTATAAATCCTTAATTGCAGTGATTTTAAACAAAACAAAAACAAAACAAAAAAAAGAAGTAGGAAAGGGAGAATAGAGTTTCCTAGTAATATTCGTGGAACTTTCAGCCCAAGGTTGGCTGAATCACCAAAGTTAGAGCTATTATCCATCAGTCTGCAAGGAAAGATTTGGTGAAGGTTTTGGTTACGAAAACATCAGTGTTGATGTAAGAAGTGAAAGAATTAGTATTGGATAAATAAATAAATGCATTAATGAATAGCAATCAGTAACTACTTTAATACTAAATAAATAATTTCAGTTTGCTTTCAGGTGAATGCAGTGCAAAAATAGAAATCATTCAATATTTCTAGTCTCTGGTCCTGACCTGTCTCTGGGAAGTGTAATGAGATTTTATTTTCTGTTTAGGACATTTAAAGATTAAAATACAAACCGCGGATTAATAAAAGATAAAAGCAGTGCATTTAGGAGGAGGGGCACCTGGCTGTGCCCCGTTTTATTGCACATATGCATTTCCAAGAAAAGTACTGTACTGTACCTCGTCTCCAGGAGGAAAGGCGTCATGCTCCACTTGGCTTTAAGACTGGCAGTGACGCCTTTGGGGGCTGATATTACGTGATTTATGTTCAGCAGCAGTAGCGACAGCACAATAACGCTCCTCATTGTCGCGATGGAACATGAACCTATAGCAGTGGTAGAGAGCAAAAAGGTACGCCGTCAGTTCAGCTTTTGAGAGGTGCCATTGAGTGCCACGTAGTTACTCTGAGTTATTATCTCAACCTCAAAGCCAACACACACGCACACATACTCGTCTGAAGAAAAAAAAACAGCTCGCAAGATTATGGGAGATGCTAGAAACATGAGAGCTCCTCGTTAACCAAGGAGAGTAATAATAAAATAACGTCTCCTCATAAGGGTCAGGCAAAGGAGTGAAGTTAACTTAGCTGCAGACTAGAAGTCAGCTGCCGTGACATGAACTAAAACATCCCAGCAGCGTGTTTTAACTAACGGAGACCACGAGCATGGGTTGCCACAAACACGTAACAGTGGACAGACTATTATTTAGCTACAGTGTTGCCAATAACATCGAGCTCACCCAGTCAGTGATGCTAGTGGTTTCCATACAAAGCAAAGGGCTTCATTCAGCTGGATATTTTGGGCAGCTAACAGCCTGTACGGCTAGCCTGTTACCGGGGTTGCGGGGTGTCGAGGTGTCTCGCGCAGACCGTTATTCCTACCCGAAAGAACCGGAAACCGGAAAACAAAACGTGGCCTTTAATTATTTTAAAACACCGTTTTTTATATTGTTTATACAGACCAGGCGAGAAAGATCGTTGTATAATTAAATTAAATTAGATGATAATGTGGCAAATTATTCTGGCACATTGGCAGACAGCTAAAGAGACAGACGCTGAAGCTCAAGCACTAGAGCATGTTGTAGCAACACTAGTAGTGAGTGATGCGTGCGCGCGCGCGCGCGTGTGAGTGTGTATTTGTTGAATCTCCAGTGTGAATCTCCAGACACTTCCTGTAGGCTGTGGAAAGGAAAAATCCAAAACAGTGAATCCAAAAATTAACCGAAGTTGTTACATTACGTTTAGAATAACTTAGTTTTTGTAGCCTTCATAATGATAGTGATGATAATAATAATAATCATTATAATAATAATGTTATAGATTATTTGAACTACTTTAAAGCTATATCAGTTATCCATTCATTCCTTTTTTTAGTTTTTATTAGATTTCCCTAAAGATCAGTAAAGATTGTTATGTATGATTTGTTTTTGTTTTTGTTTTTTTGTTGGGGGGGGGTTGTTTTTTGTTTTGTTTTGTTTTGTTTTTTTGTTTTTGTGTGACCCTACTTTGCAAATGTACCCGCAGAGAGACATTGTTGCCCGCAGAGAGACATTGTTGTTTTCACATGCTTGTCTTGTCTTCACATGACCGGTAAAGTATTATGTCCAAAATGTGCAGACTATTGTGTGGGGAAGCAGACTATTACTTTAAACTCAATTTCGACATCACTTTAAAGGTGCATTTAAGCCTTTCTAAATTTAATAGCCATCCAAACGACACTATAAGGGCAGTTAGCCAATATAGTGACACAAAAATAATAGGGTTACATGACTGAGCTGCAGATAATGGGACAATAACAGGGTGCGCAAAGGAAATGATAGATAGATAGATAGATAGATAGATAGATAGATAGATAGATAGATAGATAGATAGATAGATAGATAGATAGATAGATAGATAGATAGATAGA